ATACCACATAAGATATTTTATTTTTTATTTTCTGATACTCCAGTTCAAAACTATTTGGTAGCAACTTAATAAACTCCACGTACCGTCATGCCTTGCGCGTCTACGTTGGGCTGAGCGCAGCATGTGCTGCAGCGCTCTGCTCCAACTATGGCTCAGTGTTGCTCGGGCTCTCCACGGGAGCGCGTCGTGCCATCGCCAGAGGAGTTGGAGCTGAGAACATCAGTGCACTGGAACATCAAGGGGGAGCGGTTTCTTCTTGTTTTTAAATTCCTGCTCGGAAATAACCGCACCGAGCTGTCTGCTTGATTTACCCGTGCGCAAATCATTTTACGCACGGATTCTCTGGACGCATCAAGAGGATTAAACGCTGACATTACAGCACTGACCCGCGTGGAGTTAATATTATTATTTGTATAAGTGAAACTTCATCGCAATGGAAACAGATGATGGATTCTACAGTCCAGCTGAGGGTCGTCTTGTTGGATGTAAGGAAATCAAGCGGTGTCTGTTCCTCCTGCTGCCCGGTCCCTGCTGCTGGACAAGCTGTTTGTCGGACACACGAGTCTCTTGGGATACTTCACGCGTGTTCGAGGGGAGCCAGTGTCATAGATGGCCAATACCATGATAGTTTTTCGGGAAATTCCTTATGGTGGATTTCAGGTACAATAACCTGGAGTATATATTTTTTTTTTTTGGAAGTGATGCTCAGCAGATGTGCAGCAAATTTGGATAATGACGGGACGCATCAACTCATCCAGCAGGTATGTGAGAGAACTAAATGTCATACTTCTACGTCATGACAGTGAAATTTTAAGAACTGACTCAGGTTATGTTAGAAATGAATTCCTGTTATGAAGAGTTGTCACAATGTGCAGCACATAGTCAGTGCTGTTTTTTCCAGTGAGGAATAAGTTTATTTCATCAGCTAGGATTATTTGTTAGTTGGTTTACCAGGGGCTGTTTTGAGCTCCCAACACATCCATTTGGCTGCTTCACTATTTAATTACAATCAAACTTCTCCCATGAGAATAGAGTGAAACTTGTATCTATATTTGGGGTTCTGTGTAGAACCTGTGTCTGAGGTGATGTTTGGTATGGAAGTCTTTGTCCTCTGCTGCCACATATTCAGGTTCACCTGTTCACTGCTCCGTTACTCTCTGGGTTCATTAGGCTCATGCACTGACTCAAACTGTCTCACTTCTATTTTAGTCGCATGACTTGACAACAGTGTCACTGCCTGACCTCTGCAGCCTAATCCACCCATTTAACACTTTTTACAACACCTGCAGCGCAAAGTGTCCACAGCCCTGTTCACAGAGACATGACCTGTCCTGAGCCGTGAAAGTCCAGGTGCAAGAAAATAAATGAACAGTGTGGATACAGTGTCCATAGAAAGCAACCTGTACTCCAGCCACCTCTCTTACAGTGACTCCATTCAGGTGAGGGTAAATCTGTTTGGGCTCAGGGAGACCTGTCATTAGTGCAAGCTGCTCTTACTCGGCACACTCAGAGATCAGATCTGGGCTGTGGTTGATACAGTGGAAGCTTTAGATTTTCTCTTTTAGATGCCCAGTGCTAGTGGAAGCTGCAGGTGCACGCCACCGTATTCATTGGTGAACTTTATACGGTGAGGATTTTATCAGAGAAGGGTTTGTACCTGTTCTGCAGAGTGGCACATCCATATTTAATGAGCACACTGTGACATAATGGCATTGCATTCATAGTAGGCGTGTGTTCATGCAAGTTATCTGATGAAGCTTCCCTCTTCTTTGAGCACCTTCCTCTTCCTTCACTCAACCCCATCCACTTCCTCCGCTAAAAGAATTCCAGCTATTGTTGGGGCAGGGGGACAGAGCCCCACTATATGTCTGTGCACAGGGCAGAGCACAGACCGAGCACCCCCGCTCCAGCCAGGCAACCCCCCACACACCCCCTCCATTAAAAATCTTCTCCAAACAAGACCCCCTTTCTCCACTGAAGAGGGACCCTCTGTCTAATGCCAAGTGACTCTCATGGCCAGCATTGACGGTGGGACACTTGCTTCACAAAAGGAGCTGAAGTGTCAAATAAACTTGGTCAGAGCCCCCGACACACAAGAATTCCTTTATCTGGCACCCTGGGAGGCAGACAAAGACGGACTTTGTGTCAGTGACCAGGCCTTGACTAAAGACTGGGCTTTTTTTTTTTTCTTAACTCCTCTTCTCACAACTTCTGCCTCTTCTTCCTCCTCCTCCTTTTGTCATTTCGAACGGCTGAGCGGGAGCATGTCTGTTGACGTGACCCCCGCTCGCCCGGCATCTGTCCTGCACATGGCCGACATCACCCCTGTGCCGCGTAAGCTCCACACGAACGCAGATGCACCCAAACACACCCACTTGCCGACTCCTCTGTCGGACATCAAAGCAGCCATAACATTTCAGTGGATGTAATTGCTTTTTGATACTTTGTGTTTACGTCTCGGTCCACAGCTGAGAATAGTAGAGCAGGAATTTCTCACAGGGCTGAATGTGCTGGCGCTGCTGTCATATGATATCCTTGTGGTGAACCACAGTAGAGAGCCATACACACACCAGGGTCAGACTCACTTAACAACCCTGTATTTACTCCACTCAACATTTCCAAGGAACTTTAGAGTTCAGGTTCTGCTGTATTGTCATCTGCCTCATACTAATTCCGTATGCAGTGGTTGCAGACATTTTGAGATTTAAAGCCAGTTTCCAGTCTCTTGCAATGTCGCCTGGATGAATCTGGTAACTCACACTTCAGACTAAACACAGTTGCACTTTTTCCTCACTTGAGGTGCTAATTCAGTGATTCTATTGAGCTCTATAATGTGGCCCTTGAGTTATAAAAATCCAGACTGGATGAAAGTGCCCCCAAAGTGCTGGAAAAATGACCTCATACAGTGTTGAGGCATCAGAGCTACACCGCCGAGACGATTTTGTGGCCCAGAGCCCGAGCTGGCTGGCCCCAGTGATGGACGTGTGCATCAGGCCCCCAGGTATGCTAACACACGCCTGCCCAGAGAGCAATAGTCCCCAGCACAGTGGTTAAGGTAAACAGATCAAGTTGCTGTGGTCGAGCGTGTTAATGGTGTGTTTATGGGCTTAAGTTGAGTGGTGATTTATCATGTCTAAACTCAACGCTCACCTCTGGTCCTTGGCCTTGATGGAGCTCAGTATCTGGTGTGTGCATGTGAGTGAGTGTGTACGTGTGTGTGTGTGTGTGTTTAAGTGACATTGCACGCAGGTGACAACACCGTCTGAGCAGCGTGACCTCCTGGTGAACTGTCTCGATGTCACGACCGTTTCCGAAACAAGGGGGGAAATGGAAAGTGAGAGAAACATTTATTGTGCATTAATTACGCCTTATTTTTGTAGCATATATGCCGTCAGCATTACCTCATCAGGTCCGCGGGGCACAAAGCTCAAATCGTGCGAAAATATCCCCCCGATCGTTAGTGTCAGATAACCTTTTAATGAGCTCCATGTGAAATGTTGAAAATAGAATGCTGTTGTGTATCCATTCATATAGAGCAGCATTTACACCCAGGTTGTGTGTGTGTGTGTGTGTGTGTATGTGTGTGTGTGTGTGTTTAGAATGGGCTCTAAAGTTTGTCTGAACAGGAGAACTGTCATTTATTAGTAGTACAGGAACAATGGGGAGCTTGTCTCCGGGGGTGGTGGGGGCCAGAGGGGGCCGGTGGAGCCATGGGAGGGTGGCCTGAGATTGGGCAGCAGCCTCCGACCAAGAACAAGCCCCTGTCTGATGGAGAGAACTGCTGACCCTTCCTGAGTAAAATGGCACCTTTGTTCCGAGGTGTATGTGTTTGTGCCTATGTGTTTATGTGTGCGAGAAGGAGAGAGGTTTTGAAAAGCTGGGAGCGCAGTGTAAAGTGTTTTTTCCCTCTCTCTCTCTCTCAGCACTTTGGTTATTTTGTCTTAGTTTGAAGTTTTGGTGATAGATCCTCAGGGTATTCGGCTCTTAGGAAAAAGAAAGAAAGTAGATAAGGGTGAGACATATGGGCGAATTAATAAGATATTGCCAGAGTGGTCCAAGTCTTTGTTGATGGTCAATTTCCATGCAGTAGTTTTTACACCATTTACTCAAATCGATTTGCTCTATTAGTGTGTCTATGCTGTAGTTCTCAATGACCCCCTCTTCAGATTATAATTAGCCATTTTGCATTTTTCCTTTTGCTCGTTGCCCCAGTCTGTGCAGCATGTAAACAATTGTCTGCCCTCTAATGATGCTCATGAGGGAGAGAAACTGACGGGAGGAGAGAGGAGGAGTAAATGCTGGTGGGTAATAGCAGCAGATTGCTGATTTCCTACAGGGAAACCGCAGCTTAGTGGGCGAGTGTGTGTGTGTGTGTTTGGGGGTGTTAGTCTGCTTTGGGAGTTATCAGAAAGTGGGAAGTTGAGGGAGATGGACGGCCTGTGCCTGAGTGAGAGCATGGCAGGGTGCTATAAAGAGGTCGGTGAACATGAGAGGGGGATTCTTCAGAGTGACGCCTCTGGGTTATTACACTCAAAAGCCACAGTCCTCCCCTCTGCACCTGGTGCTTACACCTTTTAAACTATTACCCTGCCCCTGTTTGGAGTTTGAATACGGCACACGTACTCTGACTTTCATTTAAATCCTGCTATCCTCTCTGCCCCTGACCTCCTGTGTGAGCGTAGCCAGTGGAAAGAGTGCACAGGAGCGATGGAGAGCACAGAGAAGTGAGAGAAGGACGAGTGGAGAGGAGAGGGTCTTGTCCTCAACATGCCCTCGTCAACACAGAGAGAGTAAACAGTGCAGACACACAACGCAGCACAGGAGCATCTCTGTCGACCCGGACGCCAACAGACGGAGAGAGAGAGAGAGAGAGAGAGAGAGAGAGAGAGAGAGAGAGAGCACTTCATTCATGCCACCGCTGTAGGAAGGCTGCATGCACCACCCACCTCACTGCAAGGACACTATGGATCTGCAGAACAGTGGCAAATAAGAGATGCTGAGAATAGTCCGAACGTGAGACTGGAGCTCAGGGTTTCTTCACATGCACAATACAAAGAAGGTGCATGAGATTTAAGCAAACCTTTGCAACCAACCCTAGGTTTGAGAGATGCTTTCTTTAAAAATACTTTTAGTATGTGTGCATAAGTAGAAGTCATGTGTCTGTTGAGGGTGGATCTTCAGGTGTATTCTTCACCTGCCTTGCACGCATACAAATCTAAATAATCTGCAATGTTTTAAATACCAGACATTCCTCCCTCGGTTCTCTGTCTCCAACTGACCTCACTTGTTCTTTTCACGCTCCCATTTTGGAGGGAAAATTCCTCCCTTTGTGCTCAGGTCTCACAAATGTCACATTCCACCGAACCTGTGACAACACTGGGCCCTTTACTTCTGCTGGGTGTGGGTCACCATTGTCACACCTACACAAGTAAGCCATCCTCATTCAGGAGTTGGGGCTTTCCTTTTTATTCTATTTTTTCTCATTCGATCCACTGTTTCACTCCTCTTCCCTTTTCTTTTCTTCCTATCAGAATAAAGGACACATTTTCAGTGTGAAGAGGAGCGTGAAATTTTCCTGTGTGACCTCACAGGGACACAGCAAGACCACCAGGCTCCTCAGTTGACTGTGTGTGTGTGTATATGTGTGTGTCCAATCCTGCGCTTGTGTGGGAGATCTGTGTGACGCTGACTGCTTTTTAGTGCATGTCTTCTTTTATTTGGCTTGTTTAAAGGGGACTGAATGAGGCAGAGCTGCTCTGCT